TACTTCTGTAGTGATACTGCCTCAGAAACCCAAGGAGGGGTCACTATGAGTCGGGTCCAACTCAATGACACATAACAACAACAAACAACAATTAATGGCAGGATAATTGTAGCTTCTGAAAGGCCTTGATGCCCCTGTGGCATAAAAAACCAGCGTAGTGCTAATGCCGGGTGTGATTCAGCAAGCATCGAGAGAGTCTGAGTATGTTCTCCTTATAAAGGAAAGACATTGTTTAATATATGCATAAATATCTTCATTACAGGTGGTTAACATAACGTACATTGTGACCAAATGCTCTTCCTGTATTAATGACTATGATGATGACAACACTGCATTTCATTATAGTACAGTGCAGTATCCATTAGGACTCTGCCTCAAGTGACAGAAAATCCATAGTGACTTTAATTAAAAAAAAAAAGGAATTTATTTTGCTTTTTGTATCTGAAAAGTCAGTGGGAATGGAAAATAACTCCCTCACATTCTAGAAACTAAAGAAGAAGAAAAGAATGGAGTGGTTATGTAATTGTTGTCAAATATTTAAAGGTTTGTCATATAGAAAGGAAATGGAAAGATGAAATGTATTATTTCAGCTTAACAGGTTGTTCCTCTAAGGGGAAGAATTACATTCATTTGGGAAACACCTTGACAGACAACATTAGATACATAGGGGTAAGAGGCTTTGTGGACATAGTATGTGAGGAGGAGGCAGCAACAAATAAAAAAAATAGTGGGCTTGTCTGCTCTCTGAATGAGAACTAAATAGGGGGGAGTAAAGGGGATGGGCCCCTAGAAAAGAGAAAGGAGATGACCCAACATGATGAGAAGCCTGGAGCCTAGGAATAATAGTGGCCAGTGGGACTCCGCAGTGGTGGCGTGGCTGAATGATTTTAAAGGTATCTAATATACTCATTGAATTATTTGGGTTGCTCAAATATGATCAAAATATCCCACTTTCCTCAAATTTCCCATTTTTCCATCACCCTTTGCTGTTTCCATCAAACATTTACTTTGAGTTTATTTGTTTATTTTTGACAGACAGGCAATGGAAGGGAATCAAGGTAAAGTGGCTGAATTATGGGTCTAGTTGGGTAAGGAGCAAAGACAACTGCCATGGGAGATGAGAGGACAGTGGAAGCGGAACATCCCAGCCAGTAATGTGCCTTCAGTTTAAGATAATAGACTGAATACAAACATGTCCTTCGCCTCCCTCCCACAATCCCAGAGAGGCTTTCGAAGAAATAACGAAAAGTAAAATCATACAGAACTGACAAAACAGAAGCTGCAAGAGCAAATCAGAACAGTGACACTTTCCTGGAAGACAGCTATGAAAACAAATGCATGGGAAAACTCAGCAGCATGAAACCCACAGATCCTTGAGATCAACAAAGAAGTCACTCACATAGGTAAGATTACCCAGAAGGCTGGCCAACAAATCCTAAATGGAAGGCAGCCTGAGCTATGGGCGGTACAGCAAGAAAGAAAGACAGGGCAGGTGAGCTCAGTCCATCCAATCACTTTCTTAGCAGCTAATTCCAACACTGCGCTCAGCGTAAAATCTCCTATAGCATCTCTGAAGTGTGAGGTTTTAATAACAGGAAGACTTTCTGTAGTTGATGAAGGCAGTACTTCAAGCACTGCGTAGGCTAACGGCCACAAGGAAGATGAGAAGTCACGGTGTGAGAGAATAACACACGCTGTACCACATGCTGATGGCAAATTACTCCACCTCATGCAAGATCCCTGAAACCAGGACTCCCACATTCAGGATTCTCATTCTTTCTGCGAGGAGTCCTGGTGGCAAAATCCTTAAGTGTTCGGCCGCTAACCGGAAGGAACCCACCCAGCGGCTCTGCAGAAGACCTGGCCTCTCTCTTGCTCTCTTACAGCCTAGGAAACAGTATGGGGCAGTTTGATTGTGTCACATGAGGTCTTTATGGGCCAAAGATGACTCAACACCACTTAATAACAACAATTATTTATGTGAATTATGTTCTCAGAGGTACAATCATAGAATTTGAGATACATCTTTATGTAGTAATTTTTACATACATAATTATTAACTTATACACATCTGATTTCCCCTAAAGGAGTCTAGTGGTGTAGTTAGTGGTTAAGGTATTTGGTTGCTAAGCAAAAAGTTGTTGATTCGAACCCACCAGCTGCTCCACAGAAGAAAGATGAGGCAGTCTGCTTCCATAAAGATTTACAGCATTGGAAACCCAGTGGGGGTCTCTCTGAGTCAGAATCAACTCAATGGCAGTGAGTTTGGTTTTTCTGATTTGGTGTCCCCCAGACACTAATATTCAGGAGAGCAAGGCAAGCGGGTTATCTTTTTAGCTTCACGGAAAAGATGGTGGCTCACACCACGTTTATTAAATGTGAATTAATGATCAAGGACAATATTCTCTAATATGTCTTTTACATATATTTGGCCTTCTTCTTAAATCATCAAAATGTTCTCCCTTAGTCTTATTTTTAACTACAAAAAAAAAAAAAAACACAAGATAGTTGATTTGCTAACAAGGTGCATTTGTCAGAAAGAACATTATATACTTACGTTTCTGTTGGAATTTTAAATGGATTCATTCTGTAATTCAAAAATGGACTTGAAATCTCTAGAAACTGTTCAGGTTTCTTCATTATCGGTTCTAAAAAGAAGCAATTAAGAAGTGTGATGTTCATCTTTTTTTTTTTTTTTTAAATCTTCCAGAATGACATATGGAACTTCCATTTAATGCAGTATTAATTAGATTAACTATTCCCCCAGCAAACTTCAAAAGAGTTAAATAGAAATGGACTAAGCTGCATAAGGTTTATTGGAGGAGCTCTGTGGATCATGGAATATCGGATTTCTTTGTCTACTCTTCCCTTGCTTTCCAGAATACTTCCTTGTGACATAATGTTTCCATAATGTGACATTAAGTCACAAGGAAGAGGGATACCCATGTCTTCAGGATTGTTACTTGGCATTGGAAGTATAGTAACAACTTTATATAAAAAATATTTACTAAAAATCTATGCTCCTTTAGATAACCTGTACAACACAAGTGCTCAGGGCATGAGGAGAAATGAACATCCAGATACACAGAGATAATAGTGGGAAAACAGGAAATGCAACAAAGTAGAAAAGAAAGGAACAACTCAAGAAAGAAAGTCTGAAGGTGATCCAGAAGTCAGGACTCCTCCATGGATCACAGCCATGGAGTGTGCACTAACACAGTGGCCGCTGAAAGCAAACACCAGGGATGATAGTTTTAACAAAAGCTCCTGCACCAGGGGAAAGAATGCACATCAGAGGAAAATAAGTCAGGCTATGACAAAATACACATGATTATTCTGTGCTTATTCTATGTTATCCTCTTAAATGGTCCTTCTCATTTTCTATTACTTTTCACTTTAAATATGAAAATCTGTCTAAAGACAGGCATTTATGTTGGAAGCACCTAGGTAGGACTCTGTTAGAGAATCCCACCAATCATTAGATTCCTTCCCCAGTTTACAAAAGAGAGGTTCCTCGCACATAATTACAAAATAAAAACAACAACAACAACTCACTGCCATCAAGTTGATTCTGACTCATAGCTACCCACTTTGGGTTTCCAAAGGGGTAAATCTTTATGGAAGTAGATTACCCAGTCTTCCTTCTGCGGAGTGGTTGGTAGGTTTGAACCATCAGCCTTCTGGTTTGCAGTCAAATGCCTTAGGCACTATACCACCAAAGCTCCTTAATTACACCAAAATCAGTAGCAAATTCAGAAGAAATCCCCATGTTCAACATTTTTCTTTCATTCTGCTCTGAATAAACAACTGTTTTAAGAGTGGCTCCATGCATTTTGCTGAACTAGAGATACTGCCTCGGAAATCCAACCAGGGGTTGCTATGAGTCAGGATTGACTTGGCGGCAGTGAGTTTGTGTTTTGTTTATAGTATTTAAAAAGATTTTTTTTCCTTTCAAGTGTCATATGGTTGCTCACTTTGGTTCAGCAAGATAAAAAATGGACAGGAAGAAAGGGAAGAAGGGAGAAATGGAGTAAGGGAAGATGGAGCCACAGAGGGACAGAAGAAGGAAGAAAGGAAAAGTGGGAGAAGGGAGGAAGAGAGGGAGGCTGGGAAGTCTCTTTAACCCAAAGCAGCAGGTGCACATTGTTGGCACCAGCATCCCTTACAGAACTTCAAGGAATGTAGGAAAATGACTGAAACAATTAAGCAGGAGGGCAAGAGGCAGTTGAGTCTAAAAATAAAACCAAAAAAACAAAAAACTAAGTACTGATAATTTCTTCTTCCATCCAGACCAGATACTTCCTTTAATCTTTCTTCTTTTCTGGCAACAATAAAATGTTTTGCAAAAGAAATCTTTGACACCAACTATATTGGTTGTATCAGTACAAGCATAAATCAAATGGGAGGAAAATTACATGGTTAATAATTGTTACTCCTATTTTAGAAATGTGTAAACTTATGGTAGGAAGTAGGAGGGAAGGAATAGGTAAATATTCTAATCCATGTGGCTGCTGTGGTTAGAGTATGCTTCCAGTGAGCGTCAGGTACAGTCTGATCTATTGCAGTGTTAGGCTCCTGACTACCACTGAGCTTGATGCTGTGCCTGAGAAACTGTCACTGAGACTGTCACCTGCAATGACACATTAACAACATTTGCAGTGGCAGCAGGAGCCACAGCAACTTTAAAAGCATCCTTACCACCAATAGAGGTTCAAGCCGTGGTTCATGGGATCAACCACTTAAAGTGTATCAATAAGCTTAGCAGCAATGCCTTCAGTGAATTAGACTATGTATGAGTATTCTATATTGTCCATTCAGGGGTTGGACACGTGAATGTCACCCCTAATGCAGTAACCTCTGAATTAACAGGATTAGAAAATAGAGATGCATGAGAAAACACAAAGGGAGAACATGCAAAAGCAGGAAATAGGCACACAAAATAATAATAAAGCTTTTTTTTTTTTTTTTTTTTTTTTTTTACAAAGGTAACAGTTCAAGCTTCTTAAAATGAAGATCAGATATCACCATTTGATGTCGAGTCAATACCGACTCATGGCAACCCCATACGTTTCGGAGTAAAACCATGGTCCTTAGGGTTTTCAATGGCTGTCATCTTTTACAAATATATCAGCAGGTTTTTCTTCTGAAGTGACTCTGGGTGGATTAGAAACATGTTTTTTGGACCAGGCAGTGTTTTGTTCTGTTGTATGTAGGGTCACTATGAGTCAAAACTGACTCAACAGCATCAAACGACTTTTAGGATAGTAGCTGAACACTTAACTGTTTGTGCTACTCAGATTTCAAAATCAGACACACACACACATACACCACAGCTATATATTTTGAAACCCAAACCTAAACCCACTGCCATGGAGTCCATTCCAACTTACAGCAACTATTTTTTAGAACAGAGTAGATCTGACCCACAGGGTTTCCAAGGCTGTAAACATTTATGGAAGTAGACTGTCTTATCTTTCTCCCATGGAATGGCTGGTGGGTTTGAACTGCTAGCCATTTGGTTAGCAGCTGAATGCTTTAACCACTACAACACCACAGCTCCTATCAGTGTTGAAAAGGTAACCAATTTTTGACTTATCCAGCTCTGCCTTAATCATCTAATTGTTATCTTTTTCTTTTTTAAAAATCCTTTCTCCTTAGTTCATGCTCCTGCTTTAAAATTTATTCTTCATCTATGGTCTCCCAAAGCAGCAGGTGCACATTGTTGGCACCAGCATCCCTTGCAGAAATTCAAGGAATGTAGGAAAATGACTGATACAATTAAGCAGGAGGGCAAGAGGCAGTTGAGTCTTAAAAAACAAAACAAATGTATCATATATCATATATCATGTCCATGCCACTTTTGTTCTTTCTCCTTTTAAACTTGATACTTATGAAAAAAATGAGTCAGAATGGAGACACAGGAATGAGGAAACAGACATGCATTGGGAGGAAAAGAACACAGTGGGAGAGACTCCCCCTTTGCATCCCATCCCTCACCCATGTGAACCTGGTCATTTCTGAGATCAAATACTATCCACTAAGTGGCTTTGTGATAGTACTTAACACAGTAGCCAGTTCTAGGAAGACGTTCCATTCCTATAGAAACTCTCATACAAATCTATTCATTCAAAAGTTACATTCTACAGGGTACTCTATAGTGATGTCCACATTAGAAATTCACTTTAGTGGCTTAATCCATTTCTATATTGTTTACTACAGAACTTCTGTATGACCTTAATATATATCTGATCAGTTTAGACATGAACAAAACCTGCTGAGCTTCTGAGATGTTGTGATCTCTTCATGACACATCAAATGCAGACTTCAGGTGTGATGTTGAGTGGTTTGCCTTGATAGATAAGTTTCATCACAAATGCAAAAAATTAGACCTTAAGATAGAGAAATAGTTCATTAGAAAGGTTTGTTAAGACAACGTGAAGCATACTTACCCTGGGGTTCATCTGTTATAACAGTTTCCTTTTTTTGACGAATGAGCTTCCAGGGAGGTATGGGAGGAGGTTTGGATGGCGCTATAAGAGGACAAGACCTTGTTCTAGTCACCAGCACAGGGTGGCTGCAGATGTGGGAGAGTCCATATTCTCTAAGCTTCTCAGCTGAGTCTGCCTAAAACGTAGAAGGCAGATTTAAAAAGGGTACTTGCAATTACTTCATGCATTTAAAGCAAGACTTTTGTCATTATAAAATACTATCACTGTTATAGAGATACTGTTGTTATAGGTGCTGTCCAGACGGCTCTACTCTTAGCGACCCTGTGTGCAACAGAACAAAGCACTGCCTGGTCCTGTGCCAGCCCCACAATCCTTGCTAGGCTCGAGCTCACTGTTGCAGCCACTGTGTCAATCCATCTCATTGAGGGTCTTCCCCTTTCTCACTGACCCTCAACTTTACCAAGCATGACATCCTTCTCCAGGGAATGGTCCCTTCTAACAACATGACCAAAGTAGGGGAGATGAAGTCTGGCCATTCTTGCTTCCAAGGAGCATTCTGGCTGTACTTCTTCCAGGACAGATTTGTTCATTCTTCTGACACTCTATGGTATTTTCAGTATTCTTTGCCAACACCACAACTCAAAGGCATCAACTCTCTTCAGTCTTCCTTATTCATTGTCCAGCTTTCACAAGCATATGAGGCAATTGAAAATACCATGATTTTGGTCAGGTGCACTTTAGTCTTCAAAGTGACATCTTTGCTCCTCAATACTTTAAAGAAGTCTTTTGCAACAGATTTACCCAATGCAATAAAACATCTGATTTCTTGACAGCTACTTCCATGGGTGTTGATTGTGGATCCTGGTAAAATAAAGCCCCTAACAACTTCAATCTTTTCTCCATTTATCATAAGGTTGCTTATTGGTTCAGTTGTGAAGATTTTTGTTTTATTTACATTGAGGTGTAATCCATGCCGGAGACTGTCATCTTTGACCTTTATCAGTACGTGCTTCAAGTCATCTTCACTTTCAGCAAGCAAGGCTGTGTGTCATCTGCATATCACAGGTTGCTAATGCGTATTCCTCTTCATATATGTCAGATTATTTGCTCAGCATACACACTGAATAAATATAGTGAAAAGTTACAAACCTGATGCACACCCTTCCTCATTTTAAACCATGCAGTACCTTTTTGTTCTGTTTGAACAACAGCCTTGGTCTGTGTACAAGTTCCTCATGAGCACGAATAAGTGTTCTAGAATTCCCATTCTTTTCAATGTTATCCATAATTTGTTATGATCCACACAGTCAAATGTCTTTGCATAGTCAATAAGACACAGGTAACCATCTTTCTGGTATTCTTTGCTTTCAGACAAGATCCATCTGACATCAGCAATGATATCCCTTGTTTCATGTCCTCTTCTGAATCCAGCTTGCATTTCTGGAAGTTTCCTGTCAATACACTGCTGCAATCGTTTTTCAATTATTTTCAGCAAAATTATACTTGCCTGTGATATTAAAAATATTGTTCAACAATTACCACACTCTGTTGGATCACCTTTCTTTGCAATGGGCATAAATATTGACCCTTTCCAGTCGGTTGGCCAGGTAACTGTTTTCCAAATTTCTGGGCATAAACAAGTAAGCACCCCCAGCACTGCATCTGATTGTTGAAACATCTCAATGGGTATTCTGTCAATTTCTGGAGCCTTGCTTTTTGCCAGTGGTCAATGCAGCCTAGACATCTTTCAGTGCCATTGGTTCTTGATCATATGCTACCTCCTGAAATTATTGAAGGTCAACCAATTCTTTTTGTCACAGTGACTCTGTGTATTCTTTCCACCTTCTTTTGATGCTTCCTGCATCATGCAATATTTTGCCCATAGAATCCTTCATTGCAACTTGAGACTTGAATTTTTTCTCCAGTTCTTTCAGCTTGAGAAATGCCAGGTGTGTTCTTCCCTTTTAGTTTTCTAACTCCAAGTCTTTGCACATTTCATTATAATAATTGACTTTGAAAAAAATGGCCACTAGAAACCTTACAGATAACAGTGACACTATAGAGATAGAGCCTCAATAAAGAAAAAATAGCTACCACTACGTGAACCTCCTTTAACATAAGCCCTATGACCATTGGTCCTTTTCTTTAAATTTATCCTGCGCCCCCATTTCCTTATTTGTAAAACTATAGCCTAGAACTAGATGTCATTTTTCAGTCATAAGAATTTGAGATCTTATGGGATTACAGAATTCTTAGCACATCCGTTTCGGTCTGAAATTAAGCAACCAATGTTAAGGCTAAAGCTTTGACACAAGTGCTTAATATGTAAAGTTGTGGGATTTCTTGTTTTCTTTTGTTTCTCATGTCAAGACCAACTGCTACCAAGTGTTCAAAAAAAAATCCAGATCAATAAGATGAAAGTGGTTGCTTTGTGGGTTTGTCGTGTGCCCTCAACCCTTCAACAGTGGGTTTCTCCACAGGAAATCCCCATGAATACCCAGGACAATGGCGGCACTCGTCCAAGTGCAGGGGAGAAAGGCTGTCCTGTATTCTGTGAAATCAAGGAGCTGCCCAGGTAGACGCTTGCCATACTCGAATGTCCAGATGTCCTGAGGCCACTCTGCTTTGGAATAATTCAGAATAATATGTAAACAAGGCTTCAGTTACCAAATGATGGCTGGAATATGCCATATAAAAATTTAAAAGTATGTGAAAGATGAAGTAATATATACTGTAGCCAAATGCTGACTTTGACAGCTTATGTTGACATTTATAATGAAATGCGACCTACACTAAAGTTTCACTGGTAACTATTTTTCTTCCTAATGATTTCCTATCACTGATTTTTATGGAAATTACAATGATTGAAACTGTAAATCTGTAAAAAAATTATTCAAATTAGAGCCAGAAACCCACCTATGAGCCCATTTCAAATGACTGCCTCATTAGAACCCAGCGACTCCTGTGGCTCTCCTTCTGGGCACAGAAGTCTACTCTTTTCTGAGGCACAAAACAATTAACACAAACGGAGAGATGAGACAGGTCTTCCTAAGGCTAGCAGAATAACTGCAAGGTGCTAATCAACTATTCCACTACACAGTCCAGCAACACCATCTGAAAGAGTCTTATAAATACTAAACAGAAAAAGAAAAGTGATTCAGTGTGAAAAAATAAAAGTAACCTTTACATTTGATAGTTCAAAATGAGAGGAAATTGTCATTTTCTCTTTTAGGATACTGTGGATTTTAGCAACTCTAATGAACAACATTCAGAAACTTTTGAATTATGCCTTACAGAAGATTAAAAAAAAACCCTCTTCATAGATGACCTGAAGTCAAAGTCTTTTTCCTACAACTTTAATCTTGCCAATTTTTGGACATTTCAGTGGGTTGATTCAACTCTTGAAAGGAATTGGTTCCATGGAAACTTATGGGAGAAATTATTGATGTTATTCTTTAACATAATGTCTCAGTATGGCATTTTTTTGAAAAGTGTGTTACTGTAAAACTTACATTTAAATGACACCAGAAATTAAAATCATACCCAAAGTAGTATTTATAAGTTGAATAAGTTCCAGACATTTTATTATTCATAACATTGGGTCTAAACATCTCAATTCCTTCTAATGCTTACAATCAAAGTTTTAGTCTATTTTACTTTTCTTTTGTGATCATTTGAAAATAAAATGATTTAAAGCATTTTGAAAATGTAAAGTACAGTGCCAAATAAAAAAGCATGTATTAGCATCTATTGTAGTTTGAATACCCCATAAAGTGCTACCTTGATTTAAAGTATTTAAGACAATTTCTCATACTTCATTTTATTTTCAACATACTATAAAGACCTGTGAATAATGCAAAATAATGTTATTAATTATAGTTGTAACATGTTAAGAAACTTTGTCAAAAGACTTCAAATTTCCTTAGAGTAGAGTTAGGGCCAGAAAGGAATTTAGAATAGTACCTGAAACATGACCTCAGGTAGAACACATACAAGATAAATGCAAGGGGCATAATAAAGCACAATAATCATACAGTTGGAGTTTTAACATTTCAACTTAATTCCCATTGAATTTTTTAAAAATCACTTGTTTCCAACTAACAAAACGAACATCCTATCAGCATACAATCTTGTCTTTGTTACTTTAACAAAGTATGGAACCTATTTAAAAAAAAAAAAAAAAGAATCACTGCTGTGAAGTCAGACCCAACTTATAGCGACCCCTCCTTGGGTTGCTGAGGCAGTGTCATATGGAAGTAGATTGCCCAACTTTCCTTCTGAGGAGTGGCTGGTGGGTTTGAACCGCCAGCCTTCTGGTTAGCAGTCAAGTGCCTTAGGCACTATGCTGCCAGAGCTCCTAGAAATGATAAAATACTGGATGTCTATAAGTTCTGAAACATATTTAGGATTCAACAAGCCCAAATACGATAGGGTATCTTTGTAAGCAGACTGTAGAGTAATCTGGTAGGCTTTACATTTTACAGTGGAAGGAGAAAAATGATTTTCCTGTCCAAGAACTAAAGATGGTTTAAAAAATCATGGGAAAACTTTACATACAATGTAACCACTAAACATTGCCAAATACATAACATCATGGAAACATGTTAGGGATGTATCATAAAGTGAAAAAGCTTGTTTCCAAACAGAACATAAAATAAGATTCCACTCTATAAAAAAAGCACACACGTACAAACACAGAAAATATGCATAGAAGAGAAATCAAAGGACGAATGCCAGAATGTTAACAGTGTCTATGGCTAGGTGTTTATACTACAAATATTCTAATTTTATTTCTTTGACTACACTTTTTAAATTTTACATAATTTATTAAATTTCTAAGAAAACAAGCAGTTAACTTTTTTGGGTATGCATTCTTTTAAGATACAAAGAAAGTTATAGCAGTAGTTTGCCAGAGCAAGCTGTGAAGTCATTTAAATATTTAAATAATCTAATGATAAGATGACTCCATGACACATAACAACAACGTTAAGAAAGTATGTATGACTTGCTTATGGGAAGGTGGGTTATTATTATGTAGAAATGACTTAAATGATTTCCACTGAAATAAACAATTTTATGCCTTTTACCTTTTCTTTTGCTTATAATGGAAGGAATCTATAAAAATAAATGTGACTGCTTTCTTGCTTTGTTCTAAACTATTGCCACCATCTAAGATAGCTTTGGGAGCTCTGGTAGCACTGCCTAAGGCACTCGACTGCTAACCAGAAGGCTGGCGGTTCAAACCTACCAGCCACTCCTCGGAAGGAAGGTAGGGCAATCTAATTCCGTAGAGATACTGCCTCAGAAACCCAAGAAGGGGTCGCTATGACTCTGGCCCACTTGACTGAGAGCACATAACAACAACAACAAGATAACTCTTTGTATATGGGTTAGGTCCTTTAGGCTAACGATCTCATTTTAAAGATAAGGAGATTGAAATCCAGGGATAGAATGATAATTAAATTCTGATGTTCCTGTTACCATAACAAGTAATAAAGCACACACAGACAGACACAGAGGCAGAGAGAGACCATAAATGATAATGCATTTCCTGGTCTTGAGTGCTTACCATCTTCTCTAAGGAAAAGATCTTCTTTTCAAACAAATAGAGAGGTGTAAAGGTAGCATATACGACCATGTGAGGGGGCTGTGTCGCTGAAGAGCCTGTAAAACCAAACATATCGTGTCATGAAATTCTAGTCAAAATGAGTCTTTCTACAGGTCACCCCAGAGCGTTCTAATTCCTTCAAGAACCTACCTTCGCTGGTGAAAAATTGGTAAATGACTCTAAATGAATTCAACAAAATGTTAAGTCTCAAATATGCACTGACTTTATAGAATGTCTATTAGTTTTACCTTCATAACAGTAACGTCATTCACCCATTGTTGTGAGTTGCTATCAAGTAGACTCCAACTCATTGCAACCCCATGTATTTGGAGGAGAACTACTTCATAGGGTTTTGAAGGCTGTGATCTTTAAGAAGCAGACAGCCAAACCAGCCTTCTGAGGTGGTTCTGGGTGGGTTCAAACTGCCAACCTCTCAGCCAGCTTAACAATTTGCTTAACTGTTTGCACCTGCAGGGAGCTGCCATAAGTAAGTGCATAAACCTTCTCTACTAAGTCAGTGCAGCGGAGAAGGGGCCACAAATGAGCATGTCCAAAGGGAACAATTTTCAAATTGAAACATTTCTTGGCTTTCATAGATAGGATCTTTGTTCCATATTGAACTTAAAGAACTTTAAGTCCAAAAGTTTCCATGTCATTTCAGGATGAAATAAAACATAAATAAATGAATCCTACTATGACAAAGGAAAATGTGACTTAGTTTGGAATGTTTAACACTTGTAGAATTTGCTTTAGAGCATCACTTATTTGTTCACATGTTATTCAATGTCCTCAAAATGACTCCACTTGACACAGAATTCTTTTGTTATATAAATAACCAATTTATATATTTATTATTACATAACTAACAAATTCTATTGGTTCTGGTCAAACCAATAGAACTCAATTCATTTTCCTCTCTTCTCTATATTTTTAATTAAAAAGTACACCTTTATACATTCAAATATTTACATTTAATTGTATTAGAGAATATGTAATAGAAGAATAATACGTCAGAGCCAGAAAGTACAAATTAGATGTGAGTCCAGGATCTCTCTAGATGATCAACATGTGAAATATGCCAAATATATATAAACATATTAACTTTGCACACTTTTCATGGACAATGCCGGCACACATTGATCTCTTATTAATCACACTATTTATCTTGAGCAGTTAGTATTTACTTATGATACATCTGTTTGTAGTATTAGATATTATCTTAAGTCTATTTATACTGTCCTCCCAGCTAACTTTTTTGGGTGTTTGCATACAGAGTTTGAGTTAATATTTGGATTTAGTCCACAAAGTACCTTGCTTGAAGTATAGTTAAGTCCTCAGCTTATGAACCTCCAACTTAGGGACAAGTTGTACTTACCCTTTAATGTTATATAAATTTGCTCCCACTTTGAGAAGACTGAACCAACCTCTACTCACAACAAATTCTTTATCACAACCATCTTCATTTGTTGCACATGCAGCTTTTAAATCATTGAAAAGGTGTTGGCCTTTTTTTGCACTAAAACCAAAAAACAAAATGACTGCCATCAAGTCAGTTCCAACTCACAGTTGACTCCCGTTGGGTTTCCAAGGCTGTAAATCTTTACAGAAGTAGATTGCCTCATCTTTCTCCCTGGAGCTGTGGTGGGTTTGAACTTCTGATCTTGGGGTTGGCAGCCAAATGCCTTACTCACTATACCACCAGAGCTCCTTAAAGTAGGGCTAAATAAGAACTGTATGCATCTCTTCTATTTTACGCACAAATTTATCTTAAAAGACACACTCAAGAACGAATCTCATTTATAACCGAAGGACTGCATGTAGTAAGTTTTTAAATTTGACTAATGAGCTCAAGTTCAAAGCTAAAAAAAAAAAAAAAATTCCTTCTCTTAAAGAAAGTAATGTGAAAAAAAAAATCCTTTGCATGAAGCTTATAAGCAATTCTTTCTATCCCTATCAACAGATAAAACACTTTGATATACCAGAGTGGCCCTGGTTAGCAGTGACCAAACACCCTATCGTCTAGTTCACTGGCCAATTATTAAATTTAATCAAAGCCCTTCAGTAACTCTACTTGTCAATAGAAAAATACAGAAGTATCTTTAAATCTCAGCTGAGAGATGACAGCTAGTTGTGTGATAAAAGGTTCTGAGAGTGAGGAATGATAAATACTGAAATAGATAGAATTAAAAACAAAACAAAACAAAAAAAGTTATCTATTTGTAGAACTTTCTGCTCTAGAAATGGGCAGAAATTAAATGATCTTTCTAAGCCCTTTCGAGGTCAGGATTAACAAGGTGACCCCTTAGGAACGTGAGAAAGGTGAGGGATGGTGAAAAGTCAGGTGAGGGTTTCTCTTTGAGTCTGGCTATTGAGACAGTTTAGGTTCTTCTGCAAAAATATACCAGAGTTTTAGACATAAAATGCATACCTGTTTCTTCTGGTCCTAGGGTCCTTCAACAGGGAGCAGAATAAGAACAATGACAATCATTTTAAACATTCATAGAAAATAAAACTGGAAATTTAGTAAGAAATGTTAAGTAGATGGTTGGGATACCTTGAGCAACCTGGGAATCACTCAACAACTCTCCCCAAGTTTGGGCTTTACTGAGGGTAGTAAATTAAAGTGGAGAAATAATGGTATTAGTGAAGCAAATGACAGAGTGGATTGGATAGGAAGGAATCTTACTACCTGCAATTATAGTGTATTTAGTTAATCAACATTTCATAGAAAAGAATCATTAACAAGTAACTAGAAATCTACCATTAAGAACTCCTTTTATAGCTCCCATAATGGAAGATTAGGAGGAATAATACTAACAAAGCAAAAATCTTAGTTAACAGCAAGAAGACGATATAGATTTAGTGGTAAAGACAAAATATTTCTTGGAGGGGAAAAAAAAAGTTCCAAGGTAAAAAGAAATCCCACAGCTAAGAAAAAAAAAACGAATTGCCAATAAACTCATTTGACCAAAGATCCCAGTCAGTACCTTCCGCCTTCTGTCCTTTCCTGGGTTCTCAATGTTATGCTTAATATCTCAATGACTAAACATTATTTGCAACACATCTGGACAATGCTATGTAAAGTATGATTGATTTTAGCTTAATTGGCTTTATTTTAAAAAAGAATTATTGACATAAATAATAGTTGAAAATGTTTGTTTAGGCACAAAATCATTGTTTGCAGTAGACTACCAGTTAGACACGGTGGCTGCGATGATGGGCTCAAGTATAGCAGGGATTGTGGGGCTGGCGCGGGATCGGGCAGTGTTTCGTTCTGCTATGCATGGGGTCACTATGAGTCGGAAACGACTCGACGGCACTTAACAACAACAACAACAACCAGTTAGAAATAAGCTTGCCTGCTTGTACCAAAAAACTCAACTAACAACAACCAAAAGAAAGAATAGTTTATTGGTCACATGTAACAAGTAGTCAGAGGATAGGCAGATGCTACTCAATAAGGTTGGACAAATTGCCTTGCAATTTCACCAGTTTCTCTCTAATACTCATCACCTCCCAGTCCTAAGATTATCTTCAAGTTCAAGACAAGGTTAAGATGTGGGGTGAGGGAGTGAAAGGGATGGCAGCTGAATCCATGCCCTTCCATTGGGAAAAGCCAAAGCTTTTAGAGAAGCCTTCAGAGGACATCCATTTAAATATATTTTACCCAAACTGGTGCAAGAGCCCACCCCCCCAACTGTAAAAAAAACAAACTCACTGCCATCAAGTCGATTCCAACTCATAGCAAACTCTCCTTGGGTTTCTGAGGCAGTATCTCTATGGAAGTCTTCCTTCCGAGGAGCGGCTGGTGGGTTTGAACTGCCAGCCTTTTGGTTAGCAGTCAAATACCTTAGGCACTATGTCACCAGGCTGATTAAAGAAATGAGTATTTTACTTGAAGCTGGGAGCTTTGCCATTCTGACAAAATCAAGGTTCTTTAATGAGGAAGAAGGACCAAGACAATGGTGTCCACCATATGCCCAAACAGATCAAACAAGAATTTCATACTAGCAAAATTGTTCTAATTCTCTTAGCACAAAGCGAAAAAAAATTTAATAGGAACAAAGATGAAAAATCAGCAATGCTAGTATTTTCTACTATTTATCATCATTTCTGTTATATACTTATTGAATATCAACATCAAATCATTGAATTAATTGTCCCTGATATAGATAATATCCTTCATGACAAAATTTATCAGTAATTTTATTTGTGTACTTAGATTCATTATAATATTATCTTGTTGTTGTTGTTATGTGCCGTCGAGTCAAACACGAGTCATAGCGACCCCTCCTTGGGTTTCCAAGGCAGTATCACTACGGAAGTAGAATTGCCCAACCTTTCTTCCGAGGAGTGGCTGGTGGGTTTGAACCTCCAGCCATCTGGTTAGCAGGCAAGTGTCTTAGCCACTATGCTACCAGAGCTCCCCATATTATCTTAGCGTGTCTATTTTTTATTTTATTTTTCTTTGCTAGTTATTAATGAAAATTAATTAGTGATAAGAATATAGTACAGAAAAGAGAGAGAAAAAAAGCATGAAGGTGAAAGAACTAGATATACATTGGTCCACACAGAATGAATAGAGAATGGGTCTCAAAAGAGTATTTTTCATTAGCTAAAATAGTCACTGGAAGATCATGTAATGTCATATTAATTACATATGCACAGCATAGATTACATGCCAGTACATGTCATGTGATAACGATGGAGAAGTTGAAAACAATGACAAAGAAAAGTTTCATTCATTGAGTCTTTCCAAGCTATAACCACTGTCATAAATAGTTTGCATATATTATTTCAAGGCTCTCAATGCTACAGTTCACATTCTTATTAACTATATGAAGATTTTAGTTAATTGTTTGATTATTAAGGTGTGAACATGCGTTGCAGAGCTTGAAGCCCATCATTCTAAACATTTAGAACAATAATAACCTTTGCTTTAGTAACAATAATAACAACAAAAACATTATTCATAACAGAAACAATAATATTGTTTACAGTGTAGATGAATGAGAAGGTACTGGTATTAGAGTGCATGGTATCAATATTGGGGAAG